ACACACACACACACACACACACACACACACACACACGATTGCCAGAAATTCAAACAAATTTACAACATCTCTACGTGGTAGGGGCAACGTATACGTGCTGGTACCTTTCGTTAGAGAGCAAACTGTTTTTCGTGCTCTCTAACCTGCCGACAGCTCCCATCTCACAATTTCGACGAGGTGCTAGCAGATTACCGGGAAGCTAATTTGTGAAGTCGCAGCAGCACATTCTGCCCTTCTTAATTACTTTGTAAGGAAGTTAAGGAGAGGCAAAGTTGCTATTGCATCCTTACCAGGCATATTTGTAAGTATTTTTGCGTCCTAATTCTAAGATCTTAGTTTCAACGATCTCACATGGAGACAACGGCGGGATAACGGTGAAAGAGCAAATCTTGCATGAAGCCACTAACCTTATAGGCCAAAACACTGCCAAAAAGCGGTCAATTCCAAGAATGAGTCCTAGGGCTGATCCAGCGTTAATCGCTAATAGTCCATAAATACTGTGCCAGTAACACAGATCACTTTTTTGGATGTACCACCCATAAAGCATCATTACTCGAAGGTGTATCTGTGAATATCACTCGTTCGTCTTCGTTCACAACTTTATCCGCTTCAATAGTCAACAAAACACGACTTACTAGATAGACGCAGCAGAAAAGATCAGAGACGGCCAGCATACAAATAAGTGCATTGCAGCGACCTCTCAGTCTTTTTGAAGTGATCGTAGCGAGAATGATCATTGAGTTACCAAAAATACCAAATACGCAAATGCATATAATCAAAATTATGTTCGGCAGTGGCCTGTGATCACGAGCCATTTTCAGACTCTGTGAGAGCAAACCGCCTGCCTTGTTTTCGTACGCGAAATCGTCAGCCGAAGTTAACTGATTGCTTCCTTCATACAAAAAGGTCAGTTACATTAGCGAATATTGAGTTAATCTGTTAAGTTTGTGATAGATTTTGCTTTTTTCTATCTCGTGACATTGAATTTTACGATAAAGTGCGGCAGCATTGGTGCTTAGTCTTCTGCAAAACAAATCAGTACCAAGCGAAGACTTATCCCAGCAAAGATAGGGTAGCTGAAGGTGGTGATGTAATTTGGTAAAAGTCAAAGTATTTGTATGCATGCTTCTACGACAAGTTTCATTTTATACTATGTGGCCTACCCGGCTCGGCATTCCCTTTCAATACACTGTGATAAAGATTGCCATTTTCAATCAAAGCAGATTTCTCTGTGCCTGTCTCAGTTCTGTCGATCCACTGTCCCCACTATTTTACGAATGCTATTATTGGCAGCTCACTTGCCCCTCTTTGCCCTGTAGTTCAAACTTTGCAAAAATTCCTCGTTTCTCATAATCCAACAATTTAATCTGTTGGAGAGTCACTGGACTAAAAGAAGTTGGGTAACTAGGAAGTTCTTCGTTTTGTTGTTGTTATGTATGTTTCACTATTTATTGGAGCATTCCCTTGTACTTTCTTATTGTAAAAGCTACCTGCAATGCTTCTTCCCCTCTCTCCCTCCCCCGTTTCAGAGCTAAGTGAAACTGCTTAGATGATGTGGACTACTATTGCCATTGGTATTGTGTTCTGAGCAATTTGATCAACAGTGCTGCCATTGAGTTTCTTATGGAACAGTCATTGAACGGATCGCCAAAGGAATCTTGCTGTGCTGATGTATGGTCCACTGTCAAGAAGACGATCTTTTTAAAGAAGCTAGTTTTGCCCTTATATTGCAGTGGGTTGTGGATAGCCTCTATTCATTGATCTCTCCGAAACTCAAACTCACAGTGGCACATTTTCTGTTTTTTCCCTCTATACAAACTAAAGATGTTCATTGCTACTGGAAGCGACTTACTACCCTATTTTCAGGTGTATAAGCGGAGGGGAATTTTTTTTCTAGATTCGATCAGCCCGGATACGCCAAAGGACTTCGCGACCAAAGGACCATACACAGTATACTTGGGTTATTCGAAAAATTTTCATCGAA